TGAGGAAAACATGCTTTTACCGTTTTATTTTAAATGAAAAGGTTAATCGTAGGCAGCTTTGCTGCTGCCCGGTTCAATACCACACCTGACCCAGCGGGGGATTATGTGGTTCGAAAATCCACGTTTTGTGGCTAAGGTTACCGGTTTCCATTACTGAATAGCAGATTTGTATGACAATGTGGTTCATCCTGTGTGCTGTCCATCACACAAACGTGTGTAATAAAAATCCTCAATTACTATCACTCAGCACACACCGTTCTTTACAAAAGATGGAATATGAACTGCAGATATTTATGGGTTTGTGTATAGCAACTACCCAAAACTGTATAAAGAAATAGTCCTTAACACAACACGGGGAGCTCTTTATTAATTATCGTAATAGCCGCTAGATGTAGGCAGGTCATCGAGTGCTAAAACTATCCGGATGAAACATCTATGCCATCCTTATTTGACTTTATACAGCTGGCTTGCAAACCGATTGGTGAAAAAAGCATAAATTGTTAGTGTCGTTTGGTAAGAATATCGTTTACATTGGAGGAAATAAAAGCGAAGGAATTGTTAGGGGGGGGGGGAANGGGGGGGGTAACTTACCAAACGAACGTAAGCCAGTTTCTCATAACGTTCCGGTTTCGGCGGAAACATAAAAGGATTTCCTACCCGTTGAAGCATTTTTTCTGTAGGCTGGTCATTTGGTTCCACTATGTGGGGATGCGTCAAATGGATAGTTTAATAGTCTCGCACTTACAGTCATGAAAAACTGGTTTGACACGAACATGCACGACAGGGACGTTGTAGATTTTTTCCAAATATTGTTGTACATCATACTTGGTCATTCTAAAATGTCAAGATTCAATAACAATTGGGTAAAACGGAAGACTTACTGCGGATGTACTTTGAATACAACATGATCTGGTGGGTTATGAGGTCCCGGATAAAGCATTTTCATCCAGTAGGGAGGCAGAAAACACCGTGGTCTTGGATCACCCGGGGTAAATTTAGGATATTCCACATAACGTTGCCAAAGTGGACTTTCAGAAATGAACTTGGCGAGACAATGAGAAAACTAACTTACACATAGTGAGGTGTTTTGGGGAGACAAATAGGCCGGATAAAGATGACTGGGCGCATTTTTGATCACATGAAGGGTACACTAGAAAAGATTAAATTTTGACAACAGTGAGCGCACTCAGAATAATATATAAGAAAATAACGATTCACCATAACTGAAAAATCCGAGACAAATGACAGGATATACTCAAGGCAATACGATACTGTATTACTGAGTCGGGAACGGTAACTGAAGAGACAACACATAGGGATTTGTTCACACATTACGACTCACCTGGTTTCTGTGATTGATAAGTACGAAACGAAACTTGAGTCTACCCCCTCAGGACGAAACAAGTTTTTGGTCAATTGAATATTACTAACCAGATGGTATAGCACTGTGCAGGATTTAGTTACTATAACTGTGATAAGTGGGGTCTGAATACCATAGAACAACACTGGAGTGGATGAAACATTCGTCCGATCTTTACCAAGGATACAAAAGCACTAGACTCGGTTTAGCGTGGCGCTACGAACAAAGCTGGTAGTTCAACTTTGAACAGTGAAGAGTTCTGAGAGATGTGGTGGTGGCGTAGTGAGTTAGTCGCTGTCACCGGTGCGCTTTGGACCTTGTGGCCAGAGTTTCGAGCCCCGCCACCGGACTTTGGCGGTAGGCAGCTTTGCTGTCGTCCAGTTCAATACCACGCTTAACCCATCGGGGCCTTATGTGGTTCGCCACTCCAAGTTCCGGGGCTTAAGTTTCCGGTTTCCACCACTAAACAGCAGGCCCCCATGAAGATGGGGTTCGCCCCGATTGCAGTTCATCACACTTAGGTGTGTAATAAAAAAGTTTTCTACTCGCTCAGAAACTTGTTTGTTGCTGCATCAAATCAATCGTTACCTCCGATCGGAGTAGTTCGGTACCCATTTGAATGTATAGAAACCAAACATTTACAGACTACGCACCTTCAACATCTTTCTAAAACTTGTTTAGTCGTGTGATACAGACAACCTAGATTTAATCATTAACTTTTTGGTATCACTTCACGAAAACATCCCAGAATGCAAGACGTTCGACAACATCGTCTCCCCCATTGAATCATCGCATGTTGTCCAAAAAGTTCTCTTAGCTCAACATCTTTTTTCTAGTTGTAAGCAAGGCTCTAAAAATTATCCATCAGTTTGTTCAAAACATCGAAATTCTCGCTAAGGACTGTAATCTGCGGATCGTCTCAACTATGACGCCTTCACAACCGAGCTTCTCTAATTTCATTCGTACGAGACTGCTGGAACAATTATCATTAACTTTCCAGTCTGCGTACGACATGGTTAAGTACGTAGAAGTAGCGGCTGTGCGAAACAGGTGCATCGTGCGCCCCGATTAATCTAATTCCCCCACCGGCCGAGCAGACTACTAACCCAGAACCCGTTTTATCAGCGGCTTCTAACGGTACATGTTATTTTTGTGGTCATTCAAGACACTACCGTACTAAATTTCCGCAACACAAACGCTGTTTGCAAAGCCCGTAGACGAACGGGAAACTTCAAACGCGTAAATTCATCCATAGCTTTTTATTGCCTTACACGTTGACTGCCGCCGCTCTCGTTTCGTCATAGAGGAAATACCGCAGAACGCACCAAGTGGTCTCTAACATGTGGTTATTGAATGGTCAAATGGAGAAAATCCGTAGGACTTAGGGTAGGCCGATGACATCGCCCGCTTGTATGAGTGTATGGAGAATGCTCAAAGTGCACTTGATATTTTAGCAGGTGCTGTTACTCCATTCGGTATGTACTTAGCACCTTCAAATTGACGCTGTAAGACTGGGTGTCGCCTAGTCCCGCTTTGAGAATAAATAGCCAGGAATTAGTTATTGTGGACTGCTTTTCCTACTTAGGTAGTTGTGTGACCAATGACGGCAGTGCAGCAAAGGAGATAACGACCAACGTTTCCAAGGCTCGAACAGCGTACCCAAGACCGAACCACCTTTGTAACAGATGCGACGTTTCATTGAAGTTGAAAGGTCGTGTATGTTGTACCACCGTTCGTTTAGTTCTGCTTTTGGGTTGAGACCTTAATTTTGCGAGTAGAAGATATCCACAACCAGAAGTTTTTGACTATCGGTGTTTGTGTAGTTCAGCTCGCATGGGATGGAGCGAATGGGTTAGTAATTTGGAGGTAAGATGCGTGTTTAGGGGTTTAGCTGGTGTAAATTTGCTAGAACTTCGTATTGACATTAGGGTTTGCTGGTTGGGGCGCGTATCGCGCTTTTTTTGCCGTGGCCGCTCCGGGCTGGAGAAAACTACGTGATCAACAGATCTAGTGGAGACGAGGTATGAAGAAATGCAGTTTTTGGGTAGAGTAGATGTCACTGGCCTTCCAGATTGGGGTCTGAAAGACTCTTCAACTGTAAGTTTGGAAGCACTGCAACATGGGTGGCAGGAAGTCTTGATGTTATCCAGATCAATACCACACCTA